TGCGGCTGGGGTGATTAAAATGCTGGGTGAGAGGATAAGGGATAAAAGGAACTTAGAGTAACCAAGGAGAAAAGGTAGAAAGACCACAGATTATGGGAACAAAGGTGGAGAATAGGCAAGAGAGATCATGGGAGACGGAGAAGGAATAAAGGGGGTGAAACAAAATGGGGAAATGAAAAAAACATACGATGGTAAAGTGAGGGTGCGGAGGAAAATCAAGTCAGCAAGAAGAGGTCTGTGGTGGGGAGCACCCGGAGAGGCCGATGACAGGCCAGAGGTGAGGTCCTGATGGGGGAGACAGACACATGGCAAAGGGAGAGTCAAGGCTAGCAAGTTCCAAAGCTTCCCAGTGAAGGTGGCCATGGAGGCTGTCCCGGCCCCGCTGAAAGGCCGCTGGGAGGAGTCCTTAGGGGAGCATGTCTGCTCCATCCCTTGCTCTTCTAGGCCCCTGACCAGAGAGGACCACTCATGACTGATAAGCAAACTCTCAAGTAGCCTGAAAAGGCCCAGGGGAATAAATCCATAAGGACCCTGAAGGGGAGGGCATGGAGTCCTAGATGGGCAGAACGGCCAGGCAGCCCAGGCATGGCACACAGTGGCAGGGACACCCAGGGAGGGAGGGGGTCACTTGGATGGGAAAACCACATGCAGAGACAGCGACATACAGACCCAGGGATGGATGGGTGGGGAGAATGAATGAGGGGAAGGATGGCAAAACCCAGAGGTAGGGACACATGGACAGGGACCAGCTGTGCCACAGGCACAGCGAGACAACGCGTGGCCAAGTGATCAAAAATGACGGGGCCACTCAGAGAGGGGCAGACAGAGCGGATGGAGGCTGAGGGGGCCGGGAGAGGCGCGCTGCACCTTGAATGTAGCAGCGGCCTCCCCTCCCCTCGCACCTTCCCCAAAAACAAAACAAAACAACAAAAAACAACTCAACTTCAGGCAAAAAAACGAAGATCAAAGATTAAGGGTCTCTACGCCCGCCGCCCACCACCCCCACCCACAGCGCGCTGGCCATCCATCAGCCCGCCCGCCTGCCACGAGTTCTCCCCCATCCTGCCGCCGGCGGGGGGGCGCCGGGACCCAGGCCGCCCGGGCTGACAGCTCCGCGCCCTCGCACTCACCCGGCCGCCCCTTCCCCCAGGGATCCCCGCTCCCCACACTGCTCGGCGCGGTCCGTCCAGGCTCGCGTTACCCGCTGTCTGTCCCGCCGGCTCCCAGTCCAGCCTCAGCCTCTGTGCCTTTCCCTTCCCCGTCTCCCCGCCACCCCTGCATCTCTCTCTTCCCCCAGCCCCGCTCGCAAGCCTCTCCCTCCCACAACCCTGCTCCTTTCCCCCCCTCAGGCTCTAGGTCTGTCTGTCCGTCCGTCCGTGTCCCCATCCCCCAGCCCTTTCCAGTCCCTCTCGGTGCCCTCCAGCGGCAGTGTCCGAGCGCCTCCTCTCTCCTCCGTCTCAGGCTTCCGAAGAGCAAGGAAGGGAAGAAGAGAGGGAGAGGAGAGAGGGAAAAAAAAAAAAAAAAAAACACAACCAACCCAGCAGCATCGGAAATCGATGCACTTACACCTCAGCTGGAAGCAGGGACGGGAGTCGAACCGCGGCCGCCGAGCAGCGCGAGGCGGGGAGGGGAGGGGGCGGCTCTTGGAAGGGACTTCTCCGATGTGTTGATTCCTTTTCCCCCCCTCCTCCTCCCTCCCTCCAGCGCTCACTCCGGGGCGTCGGGGATGGAGATGGAAAAAATAAATAAATATATTCACGGCGGTGAGGGAAGTGAAGGAAAATAATCAATGCTATTTGGCTGCGGCTGAAGTGTTTTCCCGGCTTCGTGAGGGGGTTTCCATTGATTCACCCAGGGCACTCGCTCGTTCCCTGCCTCCTCCGCCTCCTCCTCCTCCTCCTCGCCCACCTCCTCCTCCTCTTCGCCCTCACTCCTCCGCCTCATTCACTGGCTGGAGCCGAGGCGTCCCACACAATGGAATAATCAATACCCAGGCTCCCAGGGCGACCCCACTGAGCAGGTGCAGCGGTCCGCCCGCCGCGGTGCATGCCGGGAGTTGTAGTCCGCCCGCCCGCTAGCCCGAGCGGAATCCGTTCGCCTCGCTGAGCCGTGGGAGGGGCCCCAGGCCCCAAGGCAAGGCCGCCCGTGGGCCTGGCCACCTGCTGGACTCTGGCGCCAGGTCCGAGCCTGCAAAGAGGACAGGCTCCTTTAAACTCTTTTTCATCTTTTCTTCTTTCGGGTTACGAAACCATATGTGTGTTTTGTTTTGTTTTAAATCGTCTCTAGAGCAAGCCCTGGCTTCTACCGGCTTCCCAGAACCGCCCGAGGCCTCTCTTTTTCCATTCCTTCTTCCTGCCTTATGAGCCCCTCCCTTCCAACTGGATACCAGAACATTCTCTTCCACAGCAATTACTCTGAAGTCTCTGCGAGCTCTCTCCTCCCCCTTCTCTCTCTCTCTCTCTCTCTCTCTCTCTCACACACACACACACACACACACACACACACACACACACACACACGTCACAGAGTCCCCAGAGTTGTGGGGCGGGGAGGCTCATAAGCTCTCCTATATTATAATAACAATAATTGCTAAGATTTATGGAGTGCCGGGGACAGTTCCAAGCACCTTTAGCTATATTAACTTATTTAATCCTCACAACTAGTCCCCATTTTACAGTTGAGGAAACCACGGCACAAACAAGTTAATTAGCCGGCCCCAGGTCACACGGTGGGTCAAGAAGTGACAAGTGGCCTGGCTCCAGGGCCCGCCGTAGCTGCTATAGTCTTCTCTTTAAAAAGAAAAGAAAAACCCTGGAGTTCATAGGAGAAGCTAACATTCGGAATCTCAAGTATGTGACCTTGTCAATGAATCCTCACACGTAACTGTGAGGCAGTCCGCATTTTGCCAACGAGAAACAGAGGTTTAGTGATGTGGGGAGCTGCTATAGGGTTAAGCCTCGGACTGACCTGTTGGCACAGCCACAAACAAGTCCCATCTTAGAGGGCACAGTCCTCTTAAGCATAATTAGGCTTGACCTTATGACGCTTCCTAGATCTTACCTGGGAAGCTAATGGGCTGAGGGAAGTGCAGCAAGAACAAGAACAAAAACAAGTGAAACTCACAAAAACAGTGTAACTTTGGTAACCACTACCTTGTTTACCTCTGACTATAAAAATAAAGGCTCAGTTTGCCTCCGGATCTTTCTCTGTGGCCTCAGCCAGGCACAGGAAGATCCATGGAGACTAAAGAGAGCTAGAGAGTTCTGAACGCTGTCTCCGTGTAAAACATTCTTCGCCGACTCCGTCCACACCTTTGGGAACCCCTGGACCGCTGGGGCTCGACCCCGGCATAGTGAGGCAGAGTAGCTTGCCCAAAGCCAAACGCCTCCAAATGGAAACTGGCACCCTGGCCGGTGTTGCCAAATGGTCAGAGTGTCTGCCTGACCACCAAAGAGTTGTGGGTTTGATTCAAGGGAACGGAATGCAGGTTGCATCCTCGGCCCAGCCCGGTAGGATGGTCAGGGGCAGTCGGGGTCAGTGCAGAAGGCAACCAATCAATTTGATTTGTCTCTCTCATATCCATCCATCTCTCTTTCTCTCTCTCTCTCTCTCCCCCCCTCCCTCCCTCCCTCTCTCTTCCCTCTCCCCCTTCCGTCCCTCCCACCCTCCCTAAAAGTCAATGGAAAGAATATCCTTGAGTGAGAATTAACAAAAAAGAAAAAAAGTGAAGCTGGGGGTTTACCCCAGGTCTATCTGGCTCCCAAATCTGGTCTTTCCTGTCCGTTAAGCTGCCTCTGGCCACTGGGATTGGGTTTTGTAATTCAGGGAAGAGATTAGATCTTCTTCCCCTCGACAACAAAACTGAAAAGCAAAGGACAGATGAAAAGCAGGCCAGTGAGAGGAGTTAGTGGCTGGGGGTGCCCCCTCCCTGCCCATTGGTACTTGTCATGGCAGGTGGGCTGGGGGGTGGATGCATCCAAGACATCCCACATCAACACATCACGTTTGTAATCCAGTCCTGCCCGTACTCACCACGGTTCATGTGTGTTTCAGCAGCATGCTGGGAGAGGACCGTGTTGAGAACCTAGCACTTCTCGCCAATCATAGAAGGGAACCAGGAGTTGGTAAGAGCCACTGTTCCTCACAAGCCACCACGTCCAGAGGGTCCGGCATGCAGTGACTCCTCCAGGTGACCACAGTCCTCAGAGGGACGAGGGAGCAGGAGGGTCTTTATTTATTTCCCAAAGCAGTCAAAGGGCCACCCCCATGTCTTCCTGTATTTTAAATGACCATGAGTATTCTCCCACTCCTGACAAAACCTGCTCAGTGTCCACTGGACACTCAGTGACATACTCCTCAGCCTGGCACTCAAGGCCTTTGCCAACCTGCTCCACAAGTTACTTCTAACTTCATCTCCTTCCACACTGGCCAGGTGCTTTCCAGCTTTTAGGTCTTTGCTCAGGCTGTTCCTGTCTCCATCTGAGTCTCCAACTGTTGAAATCCCATCACATCTTTAATTCCCATCCAAAATATCACTTCCTCCTCAGACAGAAAGTTTCCCACCCACCCTTACCCTGGACATTCATGCCGAGGCATGAAAAAACCCCAGAATAGCTAAGCTTGTCTTAGTTATGCTTTTAAATAAATAAATTTTTATTTCAGAGAGGAAGGGAGAGGGGGAGAGATAGAAACATCAATGATTAGCGAGAATCCACACACCCTGAGCCCAACACCCAGGCATGTGCCCTTGACCAGAATCGAACCCAGGACCCTTCCGTCCACAGACTGACGCTCTAGCCACTGAGCCAAACCAGCCAGGGTTCTTAGTTATGCTTTTATCAGCCCATTGCCAGTGGCCTGCATTTAGTGCCCCCCTAATAGTCAAGAACATATCTGCTGGACAGTGTCCCAGTGAGTGGCTTGTATTCCAGGCCCATCTGCTTATGGAGGAGGGGTTTGGAGACCAGACTGGGGCCTCAGCTCCTCCCACCCTACTCTCCCCACAGCCCCAGCTCAACTTTAGATAGTCTCCTTGGCACTATTCGCAGCCACCATAGCGATGTGATGGTGGTGGTGGTGGTGCAAAGTCTCCGTTTGGAACTACATCTCCCATCATGCATCCCGGCCCCAGGATGCCAGGCTCCTGAAGCGCGGACCGGGCCGTTCCCGGGACCCGGGAAAGGTCGGGGTGAAGAGCAGAGCACAGGGGGCCGGCCCCGTTCCCTTCTCACGGAGGGCCCGGCCCTTTAAGCCCCAGCAGGCCTCTCGGGCCGGCCTGCCGCGGCACTACTACTTCGGCCTAACATGGCCGCTCGCGCTGGGACTGGCCCGGTGTGCAGAGCCGGGCCGAGGTCGAGGGCCAGGGACTGTTCCCGGCATCCCTCGCGGCGTGGCGTGGGCTCTCGTCCCCACCTCCAGGTCCCGCGAGAGGGAGACCTTCGGGCTTCGAGGCGGCACCCGAGGCTCCTCTGGACCGCGCTGTGGTTGGGGAGGCCTGGTCGGCGGGGTCGCCCGGGCAGTGAGCCCCCGGCCTGCAGAGTAACGAGGTGTGTGGGAGCGCTGAGAGGAACACCGGCCATGCGGCCTGCTTTCGAGGGAGCCCCTTGGATTGAGGACATCTTCAGCGGTGCAAAGGATCTTACTGGAGACCTGTCACTGAGGGAATTCTTAAAGCATAAGACGGGGGCGGCTCGGGGGGAAAGGCTCGAAAGGGCTCCGGCTCCATCCCATTTTGGTACAGTGTTTGTGTCTCATTAGTTCTTCTGGGGGGTGGTGGGGGTGGTGGTGGTGGTGTGTGTGTGGGGGGGGGGGGGGGGTCTTTGCTGAGCTGTCACGCTGCAAGGCTGAGCACCCTTGGGAGGCCAGCAAATGATTTTTGATTGACTGATTGCAGGTAGTATGGCCCAGGGATTGATTGAGGTGGAGCGAAAGTTCGTTCCTGGGCCGGAAACAGAAGAACGGCTGCAGGAGTTGGGGGGCACCCTGGAGCACCGGGTCACCTTCCGAGACAGCTACTATGACACCCCTGAGCTGAACCTCATGCGGACTGACTACTGGCTGCGACAGCGAGAAAATAGTGGTTGGGAGCTCAAATGTCCCGGAACAGCAGGTGTCTCTGGACCCCACACCGAGTACCTGGAACTCACAGCTGAGCCTGCAATTGTGGCCCAGCTCTATAAGGTGCTGGGGGCTGAAGTCCCGGGGGCTGAGGGTGTGGCTGCTGTGCTGGGCCCACTGGGACTGCAGGAAGTAGCTAGTTTTGTGACTAATCGAAGTGCCTGGAAACTGGTGCTTTCCAGAGCTGATCAAGAGGAGCCTCCGCTCAGGGTGGACCTGGACACAGCCGACTTTGGCTACGCTGTGGGTGAAATAGAGGCCCTGGTGCGGGAGGAGGCCGAAGTCCCCGCTGCCCTAGAGAAGATCAACAAGCTGGGCAGCATGCTTGGTGAGGGAGACAGACCCTCTGTGCTTTCCCTGTTCCTCTTCCGGGTGTACCCATCAGGCCAGGTAGCAGGGAGGGTTTTGGCGTTATTTCTCTAATGGGAATTGTTTTAGCAACTTTCTAGAAGACTGAGTTTTCTTAGGTTTCTATCCAATGCCCTTTCCTCTTTTGCAGTAGTGCTCTAATCTTGATTTAATTCTGCCAAGTGTCTCTAATCTATTCCAGTCATTCTGATTTAGTTCGCATACCTCTAGCCTTCAGTTCCATTTGTCAGTTCTCTGCTTCAGTCCTTCAATCCACCCTCCCCTCTCCCAACTCCTACCCCCTCGTTTCAACTCCTACCCCCTCGTTTTTACAGCTACCTAGATCTTCATTTAATTTGTCCTGTTAGCTTTCAGTACAAAGCAATAATGCATTTATGAGAGACCACTGGGGCAAGCACCTGGCAGGCTTTTGTTTCTCCTGTTCCTAAGCTTAGTGCCCTTGTAGACAGTTCATCCACACAGTATGGGGTTGTGCATCCCATGAGGCCTTAACAGCTCTTGAAAGCTGTTCTCACCACCTCAGCAAACATACACTGAGTTCCTAGTTATGTGCCCAGTATGCTGGCAGGCACTCCCAATAAGACACTGGCTTATCATGGCTCCACCACATAGAGGCTAAAATTCTGTGAGCCCCAACCCATGGATATAGCTGCCTCTCTCTCTCTCTCTCTCTCTCTCTCTCTTAAATTTTAGAGAGAGAGGAAGGGAGAGGGTGAGGGAGAAACACTGACCAGTTGCCTCCCATATGCACCCCAACTGGGCATTGAACCTGCAACCTGGATATGTGCCTTGATCAGAATTGAACTTGTGACCCTTCAGTGTACTGACAATGCTCCAGCCACACTGGCTAGGGCTCTCCTTTTCTTTCTACACCCCTCAGTTTCTCTGTGTGTATCTCTATATGTGCCTCATTATCAAATCAATGAGCTTTGGCCTGTCTAGGTGGACTTTAATCTTAGTTGGGGGACAGGAGCAATATACTGAAATAAGTCGATACTCGGGCACCCTCTGTCTCCATGGTGCCTACGTGCCTCTTGCCCATTTCTCCCTGCTGGAGGAGGAGCTCATGCTTGGTCTCCCAGTCCCACTCCTGCCAGAAGTGGCCCTTTTAGGCCCCACTTCCAAAATCAGGGAGTGGGCTGTGGGTTACACAAGCTGGTTGGATGGCTGGCATTCCTAATCCCAGGGCTGCCTTGGAGACAACTTTGGGGTCCGGCTCTGTGGGCAGGGAGTAGACTCAAAGCATTTGTAGCTCTTTCTGGTTCTCTTATTCTCCTTTTGCCTATAGGTGTGTTGGCACAGGAGAGGGCACCTGCCAAGCTGATCGTGTACCTACAGCGTTTCCGGCCTCAGGACTACCAGCGCCTGCTAGAAGTACACAGCTCCAGAGAGAAGCCAGAGGGGACTAATGATGCTGACAGTAGCCTGGGCTAAGGTGTCACTTCCTCAACAACAGAGAAGAGAACTCTGAGCCTAATGGGGTTCATTCCTTTCCTCACTGTGCCTGTTCCCTTTCCACCGTGACGCCTCTCTCACCAGCTCTGCCTGTTCCTTCACCCTACCCTCAGCTATCCTTGTGGAGCCCTCCCAGGCTGCCTCCTCTCCCTCATCCGTCAGATGCAATCTGTGGGCCGCCCCTCTCCCCTGGCCGCTAAGCAGCCTCCATTGATTTCCGCTCGTGTTTATAGGATTTCCACTTAGCCGTGATCAGTAGTTAAGCACAGGAAAATCCCTTGCCACCCCCCTTCCCTTGGTCGATGCCATTGATTCTGCCAGCGGCTCCTAAACCACCTTACAGCTGAGTTAGAGATGAGGGGAGGCAGGAGGGATTTCCCTGCCTTGGGGTGTGGGGAATAGCAGCAGGTTGGGGATACGGGTGGGAATCCCTATTGGAAATCTAGACATTCTGGTTTGATTTTGCCACTGTGCCCTGCTCTGGTCCACATGGTAAAGTGCCTCCTGTGGGGTCAGTTTGTTCCCCAGCCCAGAGAGGGGTAGAAAGAAAACCCTTCTTTGTTGAAACAGATTCCTGAGACCAAGGGAAGACACAGACTTCCTGTTAAGACTTGTTCCTTGCTGTTATTCATATGTTTTCTACCTCAAATATATACAAATATAACTCACCCCCTTAGGCTTTATTGGACTTTCATTATTTGTGGGGAGAGGGTGGGCCCCCTCCAGTTTTTGCAATGGCAAGCGCAGGACCAGAGCGCCACCTGCTGGTAGTCCTCAGATGTAGGCTCCAAGAACCTGGGAACCCAGGGGTTTGGGACCCAAGAGGATTTCGGGCCGAGTGGAGGCTGTTACTGCCATGCCTCCACAGGCACGTTGTTCACCTCAAAGATCTCCTGCACTGACCGGCCATAGTGGTTGTAGGTGAGGCGCAGCTTTAACCGCAAGGGGGCCTAGGAATAGGAGAGTGGAAACCAGGGTTAGCACAGATGGCTTCTCCCTTCCCTGGATCCTATTCACAGGAGGCTCCTGGGGCTCACCTTGTTAGGATTGAGGATTCGGAGGACCTGGGTCACTGGAAGGCCACCCTGAGCTGGAACTGTGTCCCCACTGGGGGCCTGTAGCTGCAGCTGGAAACTCTGAACATAGGAGATTGGGCAGGTTCAGGCACGCCCTGCACACCCAATAGTTTCAAACCCTCTTCCCATAACTCGCCAAGTGATCGTCTCTGCATGGCACTCCCTTCTCATCTCATCCTCTTTCCCATCCACCTCCTCTGCTTATGGCCTTTTCTCCGGGAGTGTCCAGGCCACCTGTGAATCCTGGTCTTCTACAAACCTTGGGCACAGCGGCCTGGCAGATGAAGTGGGTGACATCACCCTCTGAGGCGTTGGTAGCAGTGGCAGTGATTAAGAGCAAAGTAGGGGTTCCAGGCGGTCTAACAAAAGACAGATTCAGCTGTAGTCCTTCCCGCTCAAACACTTTGAGGTTTGGGATGGGAGCTAGAGAAGGAAGAGAGAAGCAGCTTACTGTATGGACCAAAGATGAGTTCATTCATTCTTTCTTTTCAACAAAATTTAAGTGAGCACCCACTGGGTGCAGGGCACTGCTTGAGATGCTAGTGACAAAGTGGGCAAGAAGTTGGAGCCGACAGTCTAGTTGGGGGAGAGAATAAACAAGAAAAGCAAGATAATCACAACCTATAATTGGTGCTAGAAGGAAATAAACTAGGCCAGGATAACTGGGAGGAACTAACTAACAGAGGAGTGGTAGGGGAAGCACCTGACACTTTAGCTGAGGCTTGAAGAGTAAGAATAAGCTAGTCATTTGATGTGCTAGGGAAAGAATATTCCATGTAAAAAGAACATGAATTGCCACGGACTTGAGGTGAGAGGGTCTGAGGAGCTAAGAGGGGTCAGTGGAGTGGGTAGTAGGAAAGTATATGAGATGGCCAGGGAGGGAACAGGGTCTTCAGGCCAGGATAAGACATCTGGAACAAAGGGAAGACACTGAAGGGTGTCTAGGAAGGGAGTACATGCCAGAACCCTTTTACCTACTGAGATGGGGGTGCTATGGGGGGCACACAGCAGGGAAGAGGGTACCTGAACCTCAGTGCTTAGCTAAAGAGAAGAAACACATTTCTACACCTTCCCCCCCAAGACATCTCCCTTTTACTGAGGCTGACCTGGGGCTAGGGGAGCACAGGGAAGGTCGAGCAGGTGTATTAAAGTGCCTTCTGGGGAGGGATCCACAGGGGGAGGCTGCTGGGAATCCTCAGAAGGTCCATCCAGGAGGTCTAACAGATCCAAGAGCTTTGAGGCCTGTGGGGAAAAGGCAGAAGGATCAGAGCTAGGCATGGAAGCCCCACCAAGTCCTCTTCCCCCTGGGGCTTCCGCCTCCTTACCTGGGGCTCTGTGGGGACAGGGGCTGGTTCCAAAAGGTGGTTTGCTTCTTTGCTCTCCTTTACTTCCTCATCAGCCTGCGGGCCACCTCGGTCCACAAGAGGCATCTTTTCTAAAATGGCCGCCCTGAGAGATGGAACGCAGGTGTGTCCCTCTGGGTGGACCCTGCACTTTTTGCAAGAGGCATGTGGCAGGAGGAGTAAGAACATGGAGCCCTGGGCACATGGTGGGTTGGAAGTGCCCCTCTGACTTCCCAGGGTGGCACACGACTGATGGTTTCCAGATGAGCAAGGAGGGTTGGAAGCCAGCTTAGCTCCAATGAGCTGTGGGTGGGAGGCTCTGACTGTGATGAGGAGGGCACAAGTGAGGTTGTGACCCCTGCACCCAGAAAGGGACTTTGGGGAGAGGGCAGGAATTGGGGTTCTATGCTGTGGCAGACTGCCAGCGCACCTCATGTGGTCGTACTTCCGGAAGAGCGTGTTGTACTCCACAGCCCGCTGCTGCAGCTCCACGTCGAGGCAGCTTCCGTAGATGGACACCACCTGGCGGATGCGGCTGGGCCAGAGGGTGGTGTGTGAGGGAATGGCAGTCTGCCTTGCCCTTCAACTCCAGGATGTGGCAGGGAAGGGAGAGGCCCCACAGAGCAGGGCGATGCCCATGATACTTGGCTCAAAAGGAAGAACCTAAGAATTGGGGGTAATGGGGGGGTGTGCCTGGAGAGGAACTCAGAAACTGGTGGGCACAGTGAAGGGACATTGTCACTGGAGGCACCAAGAAGAGGGCCTCTGGGAGGGGCTGGGACCCCTTCTTACTTGTTGTCCCCACGAAGCCGGGTGCTAAGCTTCATGAGGGCTGTGAGGGCGTATCCTCGGGTGGCTGGCAGGGACATATGGGACTGCAGCACCCGTTCCAGTAATGCCAGCACTTCTTCTTCTTCCACCTTTGCAAGGCGGGGGTGGGGGGGTTGGGGGGTGAGGCATAGATAGTGACCCTGGGCCAGCCCTGCCTTCCCCGCCAAGTCCCTCCTCAGTGTACCCTCAATGCAGGTCTCACCTGAAGTGGCTCAGTTTCCTCACAGCTCCCCTCCAGCAGAAGGTCCCCGTATTCCCCAATGCACCAGGCTGCCACTTGCACCAGCGGTTGCTGTGTAGGATAAGAAACATGCTGGGCCAGTGTCCCTCACTTCCAAACCCTGTGACATCCCTTTAGGTTTGGAGGGGTGGGTAAAGGAAAGGAGGGGCCTCGGCACAAGGAAGTTATGTTAGTGCGTTCCCTCACTGTCCTGGTTCCTGGGCTTCCTCTGCCCTCTGGTGGCCAAGTATCAGAACTACATGGTCTAACCACAAAGGGTGCAGCAAGGATGGTCCCTACTTAATATATGGAAAGAGGGCTACAGATACTGACTGGCATCCATTGATTCACTCAGCATTTAAGTAATAAAAAAAACAACCAAATACATGCAGAAAGAGCTTTTATTGATCTCATTTGATCCGCAAGACAGTTCCGGGAGGTGGGCAGGGTAGAAAGCTGAGTGTGCCAAGCATAAAGCAAGTTACATTCGTCATCTGGTTACACAGCCAGTAGGTACCAGAACCAGAAGTCCAGATGTTCTTACTAAAAACAGGGCTCTGCCCTTGAGGATGTCCTCCACTAAGAAGAAAGTTATGACTTTGAGGGAAAAAACCATTGGGCACCAGGTGTCAGGAGTCGTTGGCTCAGGAAGGGCTGGGAGGGTTGGGCAGCCTGGAGTCTGGGTGGTGGAGACATTACCTGGGAGATGTCCTGTGCCAGGGCACTGTAGAGGCGGCGCACAGAGTAGGCGTGTAGCTCCTGGGCCCCACCAATCAGCTGGGTCAGGTTGGCCACCGCATCATCCCGGACATGGGAGCCCGCCTGGAGTAGGGTACATGGCCAAGTCAGTGTGGCGAGCCCTGCCTACTCCTGCCCGGATCTCTCAGACCAGCCCCTGCCTCACCATTGTCAGCACTCGCAGGATGGTGTCTATGTGCCATCGCTTGGTTGGGGCGAACCTAGGGGACATAGGGCATTTCAGTCCTAGCACTGACCCTCCCCAGATTCCACCCTCTCTGCCTCCTGGACACCTGTCACCTCACCTCTCGGCGGCCAGCAGGATTCCTGAGGCACAGTCTGCCCGCAGATCAAGGGGGCAGGACTCCAGGAAGCCCTGAAGCTCTTGTGTCATGGCTCGCACGTTGGAGCTGTTCACCAGAGCCAGGCTCAGTTCCAGGGCCCGCCTGCCAGGAGAAAGATGTGTCCATACGAGGTAACTTAGGCCCTCCTCTTCCCCAAGCTCCTGTCTTAGTCCCCTTACTCCAGCTGCTCTGAGCCGGTCCATATCTTGGCCACCAGAAGCTGGGCCTTCTGTCTTGCTCACCGGCTGAGAGAGGCGTCAGGTTCCCGAAGACATTCCACCACAGTGGGCCGGTGTCGCTGCACAGCGCTGTGATCAGACTGCACCAGTCGCAGCAACGACGTCAGGGCTACGTATCTGAACAGAATGGGAGAGGCCCCATCACGCCATGGCCAGCAGCCCTCCTCCCCGCACCATTCTGCCCTGGGCACAGGGATAAGAATGAATTGGGAGACTCTGGGAGGAGCAGGGCAGAGGGCCAGGGTTCAGTGGCACAACCCAGCCAGACACATGGCATTTTTACCTAATATTCTTGTCACTGTTGAGCAGGAAGCGGCCTAGAATGTTGACAGCTAGAACCTATGGGAGGCAGAGGTCAGGGACAATTAGGGAAGGAGCAATCTGCTCCCTCAGGGGTGGGGACTGCCTGCCACAGGACCTGTCTTCCCGGCTGGGGTGGGTGGGTGGGGCACAGTGGGAGAGGTGTATGAGATGGTACCCGCAGGCCAGCTGCAGAGCGGATGTCCACGATGGTGAGCACAGTCTCAAACAGGACCGCGCTGCCTGCATTTCGGCTGGTGTCTGTATTAGTGGCCACCTGAACGGATGGGACAGAAGATGCATGTAAAATGGGCCCTGTCCTCTCCTCAAGTCTCTGGAAGGTCTCCACAATGTCATCCAGTCCTCAACCAGCTAACAAAGTTCCCTAAGCCCCACACACTATGTGCCAGGGGCTACCATACTGAGGCAGGCTGTCCCCCTCACGGATATCACAGTCTGGAGGGAAACCGAGACCTGATTATATGGCCACCTCACAGGGAGTTACCATGTGAGAGCTGCCCAGGTGGGATCACAGAGCAACACGCTTAACCGGCGCCCCTCCCCAGTCCCCCACCTGGGCCAGCAAGTCATTCATGCTCTCACTGCTCTCCTCGTGGTTCCGGCCCAGAATCCGAAGCAGACGAAGTATCTGGACCTGCGTTTGGGTTAAAGGTGGAGAGGTGAAGAGGTTCTTAGGGTAAGGAGTGAAGGGGCTGAGGAGGAAAGTCTGACATTGAGGAGAGAGAGCATTGCGAGGGTCTGGCTGGGTTCCTAGAGCCCCCCTGTCCCCCTGCCTCTGCACTACAGGTCCCTTAGGCCCTGGGAGGGGACCCAGAGATAGGTGAGGCCAGGGGATTTGGGGACAGGCTGTTTTTTTTATTGTCAGTAAACTGGATTTTCTGACCTTTAGGCATCCCTTCCCTGCACTGGTCCTCGGGTGACCTGGGCAGTCCTGTGCCTGCCACCCTACCCGGCCCAAGACACTAACTGAACCCAAGTGTTTTCCAGGGGGTGAGCACTGGCCACGGGCTTACTGCCAAGCTCTCTGTTCCGGGGCCACAGCAGAGAGGCTCAGCCCACCTGTAGGAAGGGGTCACTGACTCCAGATATGCTGTGTTCTGTGGAGTATCCCGTCGTCACCAGAGTCCGGAGGATCTGCACCAGCTGGGGCACCACCTGGAGGGAGGGCACAGCCTTATCTGGGCAGTCTTCCTAACCTTCTCCACCATCAGCCCCATTCCAACCCCACTGCCCCTCTTTTCCTGGCCCCGGGCCTGTCCCCTCACCAGCCCACCTTTCGAAAGTGCTTGAGGGCTGCAGGGCTTCGTTCGCAGAGCTCTGTGATCAGCGTGATGGTGCCCAGCAGGACGCCTGGTGTCAGGGCAGGGGAAGTGAATGGTGGGCCAGGGGCACAGGAGGGTCTACTGTGTGTGTGGACATACTACCCTTCTCCAATGAGCTAAGGTTCCGGTCCCACTTTCTACCTTTGGCCACAGCCAGAGCTGAGGAGGGGACGGGGAGCCCCGTGGTCTTACCGTGGTGACGTTCGTGAAGCAGTTTGGCACAAACCGGGAGGAAGGTGTCGGAGAGCTCAGGGACTTTTCGGATCATGTGCACGGCAGTCAGAACAGCCTGCAGAGGTCAGGGGGCTCAGAGAGGGCAGGGGTCTGCCAGGATGGGCCCCCCGCCTCTGCCGTATGGCAAACAGGACCGTTTCTGGAGGGACAAGTATCTAGAGTCCCGCCGTCTCACCTTCTTACGCACATAGGGGCTTCGCTCCAGGAGCAGTTTCTCCACCTCAGTGGCCAGGTCCCGGCACATCTCAGCGGAGCCCATGGTGCTCAGAGTGCACAGGGCCAGGCCTTGTACGGCCTGAATACCCTGGTTCAGGTCGCTGCAGAGTTTTGGGAGGACCGTCAGTCAAGCCTCTAGTCCTTCCAGGACCTGCAGCAGGCAGCCCCCTGGGAGTTCCCAACTCCCTTCTCCCATCTCCCCGATTCCGAGTGCTTCCCAGAAGCTCTCACTTCTTGATGCTGTTGGTAATGAGCAGGTGGGCATCCTGCCTCTCATCCAGTAGAAGCATGGCCCCCAGGTAGCCCACCCTCTTGTCTATGAACCTGGGGGAGGCGATGAGTTTCAGGCACTCCATCTAGAGGGAAAGAGGCAGACCAGGAAGGGACAGGAGTGAAACTGGAGGCACCAACATCCCTTTTCTATCTTCCTCCTTAACACCAGGTTAACTTCTCAGGGCACCATATCCAGTCACTCTCCCTTCAGCAAAAGGAGAGGCTTAGGAAATTCAGAGCCGGTGGGTAGTTTCAAGAAAAGGAAGTTGAGGAGAATGGGAGAGGGGAGGAGGTGCGCTGGATGGGGTTGGCCAGAGAATGAAGGGTTCGGTCCACCTGATGACCAGTGGGGGCTGTAATGGGGAAGGAGGTCTGTGCTGCATGCTGTGAGGGCTTGGAACATTGTAGAATTAAGAAAACAGGGGCAGCACAAACAGGTGAGCGGGTCCAGGACCCTATCCCAGCAGCCTCCCTCACCAAACTCAGAAGGAAGGCATCCCTGAGCAGTACCTGTCCAAAGTGGGCGGGGTAGCCCAGCATGTGGACATAGAGCAGTTTGGCCAGCTGGCGGTGCCGGTGCAGCGGGTCCCCGTCGCGGAAGGAGGCCCGGATGTGGGCACACTCCTTTTGGATCACTTCCCGCTCCTGGGCCTGGGTCTTGGCCCCTCGAATCTCCTCGATGAGATCTTGAAGCTTCAGCGAAGACATCACCATCCTGGGGGTGGCGCGGGGGGAGCAGAGCCCGGGGATGGAGAGGGCTTTCACCTTCTCTGGCCGGGCGTACCGGGCCTTTCTGCCCAGGCCTGCCGGGTGCCCCGATCCTGAAGGCTGGGGTCCCACACCTGCTCCGACACCGAGCCTGCAGTCACCTTTCCCCACGTGAGTCTCCAGACCCCGCCCCCTCCTCCCCGCCGGAGGCGACCCCCACTACGCATGCGTCCCCGCCCCGCCCTGCACCCGCTCCTACTGAGCATGCGGCGGAGCCCCGCCTATTTGCCCCCCTCCGCCCCACCTGGCTCCCCATCCCTAGCTCAGCCATGCCCTTCCTTGCAGGGCTCCGCGCTGTTTCTTCCGCGGGACCCTCCCAACGCTCACATCTCAGGGCCCAGCTCCCCCAGCACCAGCCGCCAGCCTCACCTGGCTTCGGTCTCCACTGCGCTCCGCTCCCCCAGGCGTTTCCTGGTGCAGGGCCGGGCGGGGGTTGGTGCTCGGGCTGGTCCTTCCCTCTCCCCGCCCCCATCACGGGACCCCGCCCCCCGGGGGCCGCCCTGCTGAGCCGTCTTGGGTACTCTGACCTCAGGCTTTGGAGTTTAGGGGAAGAACTCGAAACCACAGAGAAGCCTTGAGCCTGCTGGCAGGCCTGAGGTTCCCAGGCGGGCGCCACGCGGGGATCCTCGGAGAGCTTAGGTTTGAAAACATCGCACCCCAAAGGAGATGACAGTCCCCCCCTTTTTTTGAACTTTTTTATTAATATATTTTTTTTGTTAAATTTCTTTGTATTTTTTTTTTTCCTGCAAGACTTGGTGTTGGCGGCACTGTTGTAGTTTAACTTCAATCCCAAATTCCATGAAATAGAAATCAGAAGTAGAGGCTGAGAGGGGAGGAAGGAAGGTGGCAGGCCAAGGAGTAAACAGAGTTTGACTAGAAAAAAAGAAGAGGGTGTGTGTGTGTGTGTGTGTGTGTGTGTGTGTGTGGTGGGCATTCCCAGGCAAGGCCATTCCTTGAGGGAGGGGTTTGGCAGGCAGCTTGCCTCTGCCTCATGCAGGGGAGGGAGGAAAGATCCCCTGGGGACCTTACAGTCCCCTCTTCCTAGGGCTTCCTGCCCCAGGGAAAGTTAGTACCAGGGATCAGCCACCACCTCAAACAGGGCTCTCCGCCCACCTCTGCCCTGCCTGGAAAGTGTATGGTACATTGGCTTCCAGTGATCCCTTTTTCTGTTTACCCATTTCACAAGATTCTGATCTGATGCGGGAAGAGATATAACCCACGTAGAGATTAAGCTTGTCACAACTTTTGCTGCCCTGTGAGTTCCTGTCAACTAACTGGTCGGGTTCCATTCCCCAAAACTGCCTCCCCCAACACAACCGCCAGAGCTGGGGAGTGGTGTCCTCGTTCAAGTGCCTCTAACCCTCGGCAGTAGGAATGTCTTCTTCAGGCCCCTTAGAAATTTAATCAAAGGCCACAAGTGAGTCCAGACCAACCAAATAAATTCTTAGGGGAGAGAGAAGGGTGGGAGAGGTCAGTGGGTGGACTTGGCTGCATTGGGCTCTTTCTTTCCTTTACACGTTGCTCTTGACATGGCATGCCACCCTAGGGGGTTGGATGAGGGGCTGGCAGTTGAGGAAAGAACGTGGGAGATGCTAAGAGTCTTCCCTCTTCATTTCCCTCCATATCTCTTTTTCAGGGAAGGATGGGATTAGGGAAGCACCTATCTCAGTGCTTGGAGGGGGGATAGGATCCTCCAAAGTCAGAGATGGTGACTGTACCTCCTCCAGCTTTTTCACTAGGCCTCAGAGGGGCAACAGGGCCCTGGGTTAGGGAGCCACAGAGCTCGACCAGTGCCTTGACCAGTATAGTCCGTCCTCCATTTTCTTCCTCCTTTCCACTCACCTTCCAGGAGACTCCTCAGGACACCAAAACCCCACCCTCATCCAAGTTCAGGTCTAAAGAAAAGATGGGCAGGGTGTGGGGCAATGGTCTGACTTAGATTTGTGTGTCTCAGAGAAGAGAGCGACTCTGAGCAAGAAAAGCCCTTCATATGTAAACAATCTAGAGAAAGAAAGAGTTGGGGTGGGAAAGGGAGCGAGGAAGACAGAGACAGATCCAGAATAAATGAGAGAATCTGAAAGGAGAGCAGGAAAGAAAAAGCAAGAGACAAAAACAAAGGGAAACAGAAAAGGAAAGGGAGAAGAGAAAAAAAAAAAAAAGACAGGAGAAAACACAAGCAGGAGGAGGAAAAGAAAAAAGAAAAAGGCAGATCAAAGGAGTGAAGAGGCAGCAACCGAAGCCAGAATTAGGCCAGGCAGGAGCCTTAGGTGAGGAGCTGGGAGAACAGGAACGCCAGGCTGAGGTCCAGGAGGGCCACGGCTCCCACCACCAGGGGGTTGGCAGCTCCCTAGAGAGACAGGGAAAATGCAGGCTCAGTCCCTGAGCACCAGGTCCAGTGACGGGTCCCACCTTCTTGCCCTGCCCAAGGTGGCAAAGCAGAAGGATCCCAGACACCTCTCCTAAGAGGCCAGAGCATGGGGATCACCTACTTTTGTCTTGGATTACAAAACACTCCTCTTCTCCCAGCCAGGGCCTCGCCTTCCCTCTGGCTCCTTTAAGTCAGGAATAACCCTTCCTCCCTCCTCCTTCCACTCTACTCCCACCAGCATGTCACATGGCCCAGGCAGAAGGTGTCTGGCCTTAGTAGCATACATTGGCAGCAGCAGCTGGTACTGCAGTAAAGCAGAAAGGGATGAGGATGTGGTTGCTAGGAAACAGAAGGCCTGGAGTCCAATCAGAGCAGAGGGTTCTGGGGAAACTCCACCCCTCTTAGTTTTCTGCCTTCTTTCCTATTTCCCTTCTTCCCAGAAGAGGGAGGGAGAATTGGGGTAGGGAGGGAACAAACTTTTCCTTTTTTATTTCTGGGCACCAAAGAGAGAAAGTGTGGAGGTGGGGTGGGGGTGGAGTGGGAAACTGGGAGCTGGAAATGATATGGAAGGAGAACAGGGAAAGACGTTCTGGCTCTACCGTTAATTATTCATTGGTAACCTTGGGCTAGTCACTTTAAGTGCTCTGTAACTCAGTTTCCCTTTCTGTCAAAAGAGGGAGTTGGACATGAAGGTATCTAAGGTTTCTGCCAGCTCTCAAGTTTTTCAATATTTTTGAGGGAGGATATGGTGTAAGACTGGGCAGGCACAGAGAAAGCTGAATCCAAATCAAAATCCTCCGGGATCAGAGGGAGGACTGGAAAGGAGGAGAGGCAAGGCTTTGCGGAGAAGAGGGGCAGAGAGGAGTGAGACTCAGAGGGCACAAGGCGGGGTGAAGGGTGTCTGTCTCACCGGCTGGGCTGGCCTCTCGGTGGCAGCTGGCTCCTCACGCTCTTCCATCAGGCACCCAGCTTCAGGACCCCTTGAGGAGGAGCCCCTCAGGACTGGTGTGGCCAGGGGCTCAGGCTCCGAGGCCCCTAGGGTCCTTATGAGGGGCAGGGGCTCTTCATCTTCCCCCTCCTCCTCGCGAAGACTTCCGGAACTGTCACTGCAGCGTCCAAGGAGTGGGGAACCATCTCGGGGTCCTGGGCCCTGGATCCCAGCCTCATCCTCGGCCTCATAGCCAGCTAGTTCCTCTGCCCGCTCACCCGGGCCCCCCCACTCCTCAGGCCAAGTTTTAGGGCTGGAGAAGGGACCCCGGTCCCCTCCAGGAGGCAGTGGGTTCCGGCAGGCTGGGGGTCGCCAGGGTTGGCGGCAGGAGGCAGGACTGCTGGGCAGTTCAGGGGAGCCCTCTGAGGGGGTCAGTCCGTTCTCGTACACCCCAGGGCTGTCCTCATCCAAGGGCTCTGTGTCGGAACCTTCTGAGTCCTGCCTGGGTCTGCGGCCTGGGGCAGGGACAGCTAAGAATCAGAGGGGCTAACCTGCCTTGGACTGCAAAAGCTACCGCTTTATCCCTCCAACCCGGCACCTCCCAGGACTTTGGTATCCCCAAACTTACAGCCAATCATCGCAAGACCCAACTCCTTGTCCGTATTACCCTGTTTCATCAATTCTCAGTTCTATTCCCTACCCTGCCACCCTCTGTCCTCTCAAACCCTCCTATCTTGGCTCTCCCATCCCCAGCCTCCTGTGGGGATTCCCTTCTCCTTCCCCCCAACCCACCGTCCAGCTCCCCAGGGGGCCCACCCCCACCCTCAGCTGCCCATGCCTCACCTGGGGCCTCTAACATGGGTTGCAGGTCCTGGGCTATCAGTTTGGCCATTCGAGCAGCCTCCACAGCCTTCTCAGCAACGCTGCTGGCTGCTACTGCCTTGAGAAGGGCGTCTGCTGCCCTGTCAGGTTCCAGGGACAGGGTTTTAGCAGATCTGCTCAGACGCTCCAGCCCCCAGCCCAGTCCCACCACAGCACATCCCCTGTCCCGCAGGGCAGCGGCCCTTTGGTTTCCTCTCCTAGACCTGGGCTGTGCCTGCTGTCCTCACACCCTCCTGGTCCTCTCATACCCTCCCACCATCACATCCTGTAGTGACACTTCCCTTCCTCAAGCTACAGGCCAGGCCAGGCCCTCCCTGCTGCCCTCGGCCTATTACAGTATTCCATTCCCATCCTGCTCCCTTCCTACCGAGAATGGAGACCTTACTCTTTTCCCACATCCCTCTGCAGTCCTACCTGCTTGGTGCTTATATGCTACTAGAGGCCCAGTGCATGAAATTCATGCACAGGTAGGGTCCCTGGTGGCTGCTGGCCAGGGGTGACTCCCTTTCCCCTGCTGCCTGCCGCAGCTGCCAGCCCAACCCCTGGTTGAACTCCTGGTTGAACTTCTGGTAGAGGGGACAATTTGCATATTAGGCTTTTATTATACAGGATGCCTGCCTGCCCTTTTACTGTTGGCCCTCCTGTTGATATCAACTCCTCTCACCCTCCCTGGGATCACACAGCTTTTTGTGGGGTCCAGGATGTTTTTCTGTACCTCACCTCTGCCCTTCTGACAGCCTTGCCCTCCCCCCAACTAGCCCTTACTCTAAGCCGGTGGTCGCCAACCTTTCGGACCTCACGGACCACCAGTGGTCCTCGGACCACCGCTTGGCGACCGCTGCTCTAAGCCACCCTCTCCCCATGTTAGGAGCCTTTGCCTCCCTCCCCCACTGCTGCTAGCCCTTACTGAATCCTGCCTCTCCTTGCAGATTTCCTGACATGAGAATCTCACATCTTGCTTTTCCTCAGCCTCTTCATTTATTACATTGTTCTCTGCTTCCTCACTGCCACCGCCCCCTGCCCCATCTCATCCTTTCTGAACGCTGGAAGTGGAGTAAGGGTGGGTCCCCCCTTTTGCTATTATCCATTCTCTCTCCCTGCCAACAGGCATGCTTTCTCACCACTGGGACATTCTACCTTCTGGGTAAGCTCCTGATCTCCCTTCCCGCCCTGCTCCTTAGGGACAGGTTACCTTGAAGCATTATCAATCTTTTCCCTGCTGTTGTTTCCCAGTTCTCTCTCTGGTATCAGACACTTTTAAAAAATTTTCCCTTCCCTTTCACCCTCTGTTGTTCATGGTAGATGCCTTGTAATCATTAAATTAGTTCTGTAATTCTGACTGATATACTTGCCACGGGTTTGAATGGATCAAGACCCATGATTCCCTCTGGCCCCAGGCCCCTTTAATCTGGCCTAGGAAGACAGTCTAAGTATGGGGGTAGGGAGAAGGATGGTGGTGTCCACTGCAGACTTAGGTCCACCTGCTCTGCCTATACCTTGGAAAATATGGTCAGCCTCCTCCCATCAAACCTGGTGGGTCAAGGACCGTAAGAGCCTGCTTGGAGGAACCTCAGATAATGCTATTGTTCCATCTTAGGGCTTTCAGACTCTATATGACCAGTCCTTTCCTAAGACTGAGCTGGTCTCAGGGTTTAGGGCAGGGGATGAGGATCCCAGTCTTGTGATACATTGAGTTCTGTTGGTGGTAAAAAACAAACAAACAAACAAACAAAAAACCGGCAATACTATGTTTTTGAGTGGGGAGGGTGTGGATGATCAAGTCCAGGCAGTAGACCCAGTCTGTGCTTAGGCATCAGGCCAGGCTCAGGCTACCTGGCAAAGGCATTTGCTGCTAAGGCTCTGCTGTTTCCATGGCAGCTCACAGCCAATCAGGTTTGCCAGGCCTGTTGCTGGGGAGACCAACCAGCCTCCTCCCACTGCTTGATCTTCCAGCTACTGAGATCCATTTGTTTTCCCTGCACATGCCCACTCCCCATCTAGCCTAAAGTGCTCCCTGGTGCTCTGCCTTCCCCCTCCCCTGGCTTAAGGCCCTGGACTCTAACCTTCCAGATGCTCACACATGTATACAGATAGACATTCTCTGGCTCAGGCATCTAGTGTGGATATGACATGTACACACACATCCCTTGTCACCCATTACACAAATCCACTGAGGTATATTTAGACATATCTTGATCTCTGATCCTCTGAATCAGTCTCAATATTAAACAAAATCCTTCAACTGTGCCCTCCCCTTTAAATAAAATCTAATATAAAAAATTCATATGTGTGAGTTGCATAAATCAGGGGCCTGTGGATTTCATTACAAATGGATGTTTGGCTCTCTTTAGATCTGGGCTACCTACTCCAGTCATCACAAGTCATCTGTAGCTATTAAACCCTTAAAACATGACTAACCTGAGTTGAAATGATGTGCCATAAGTGTAAAATACATACTAGATGTCAAAGATTTAGTAAAAAAAAAAAAAAAA